TGAAAATATAACGCACAGCGGTCGACCACCGCTATTAGAGTTAGAGGCGATCCCGTCCCTCCCTCAGGCCGGAGGCGGGGCTTCTATAGTGGCACGAACCCCCTGCAATCTGATTGGCCACCCCGTGTGCGCCCTTTCAACGAGTGCCGCCTTCGACTGTTCTCCTCTCCTCGTTCCTTCGATGTTGTCTGCGGTCGCCGGGGGGAGGGTCACTCCCGAAGGGTATCTCCGGCTTCTGCTGCGTGTCCGGGCTTCGTGGGCGCCGACTCTTCTGCGTGATGGGGTGCTTCGCTGATCCTGGGCGGTGTGTCCCGCTTCTCCGGGGGCTCTGCTGGTGCTGCCTTCTCGTCGGCGGTCCGGGAGCGGGACCTTCTACGGCGCCTTCTTCACCCTCTTCGAGTTGGGGATCGCCGGCTAGTACGACCGAGGCTGACCACCTTCCCGCTTGGCACGAGGCCCAACGACGAGGCGTCGGGGCAGTTGGGGTGCCTGCCACGGGCCTCGCGGTCCACTTCAGCTTCGGCTGCCGGTCGGCCTCGGTAGGGGAACGTTGGCGGATCTCCGGCAAGAGGAGACGAGGAGGACGTCTGCGAGGGACTCGCGATCGTCGAGCGTCGTGAGCGGGCGGCGTCCGGCAGCTCCCTCGGGTGGCTGGAGGGCGCGACCCCGGGAATGGCGATTCCCGCCTTGGATCGTCGGGACGGATGGCGACTGCTGATGTCAGGGACGGGCGACGTCGCTGGCGGATATCCACCGCCAAAGGCTGGTCTTCCGGACAAATTTGACACCACCTTCAGAGATGGAGCCTTGCTTCATCACCACCACAGCAGTATCCATGAATAAAGTTCACCTTCCTTAAAAGGAATCACTCTCAAAGTGACAACAGACGGGTGGCGTAAGCAGAACCCGTTCCACCTTGAAATAAAAGGTGTAAAAAAGAAAAAAAAATCCGGATTTATTATTGTTACTCCCTGTGCCCCCTACCAAAAAATTCTCCGCCCCGCCCCTGCCTCATGCATTTTACCTTGAGTGACGCTTATTTTAGGCATAAATCCCGAAAATGTCGCTATTCCTGCGTTCGGAACTGCTCGTCCAGACCAATTGGACGAGATGTTTTCACCGTTCGGAACCTCTAGTATCTCGTCCCTGACATGTCCATCTCATCCATCCCGCCCTCCTGCGAAGCTGGGCGAGCAGGGCGAGATGACGTCACAACAGCTTTTGTATGTAAACATTGACAGTTGTAGGTAACCACGAGATATTGGTGGGTAATTTTATGACCCTGTATTGGTGTTATCAAATAATATTTTTTGTGTTTGTCAGTTGCAGGCAAGTTAAGTATGCATCTAAGGAGTAACAAAACCCATGCAGCGTGTAAAATAAAGACCGGTATGATTAAAAAAAAAATGGTTTACAATCGAGCAGATTGCCTTCTCGGCAGAAAGGGTCTTGGAGGTTCCGAACGCGGCCCACTTGTCCTGCTGGTCCTGTCTGGACGAACGCAGCATATATGAAGGACCAGAATTCCTCAGAAAATCGCCAGAAAGCTCAGTTCCCCAGATTTACCCCCAGATGCACTAAAAAGTCCCAATGTGGGGCCAAAATCCCCAGAAGTGGGTGCGCTGAGATATATAATATATATATATATATATATATATTATATATATATATATATATATATATATATATATATATATATATATATAACACACACACACACACACACACACATATTATATATATATATATATATATATATATATATATATATATATATATATATATATATATATATATATGCATATATATATATGCATATATATATATATATATAATATATATATATATATATATATATATATTATATATATTTATATGTATGTATGTAATTACAACACACACACGCACATATATATGCACAAACGCACGTGTGTGTGTGTGTGTGTTTGTGTGTGCACACGCGCGCAAGTGGTAGACACACACACACACACACACACACACACACACACACACACACACACACACATATATAATATATATATATATATATATATATATATATATATATATATATATATATATATAGTTACATGTACTTCTATACATTTCCACTCTACTTTGTAAACATCATGAAAATAAATAAACGTCATACTGAAGCAATTATTATAACTTACTGGCCTCGAAGGTAGAAACACTGACACTTGTTACGTAGCCTCTTAAATCACTAAAAGCCACGACCTGAAAATTAATTTTAATAATTTGATAACGACGCTAAAGATTATATTAATACTACTAATAATAATAATAATCATAATAATGACAACATCAACAATAACAACAGTAATAATGATAATAAAAATAATAATAATAATGACAAGAACAATAACAATAATAACAATAATAACCACAGCAACTATCATTACAAAAATGACAACAATAATTATCATAACAATAATAATAATACAACCACAACTGTAACATTGACAATATCAATCATAATGATAATGACAATGATATCAGTAACAAAGATTAACAGCAATAAAAATAATAGCAAAAAAATCAATAAAACAATAATTATAATGACAACAATGAAAGATTAGCGCCAACAGGGCAGCGGTGGCAGAAGCAGCGGAAAGGATCATGGACTCGTTCGGCCCCACAGCGTAGTGCTCAGGGGCTTTGCAGGCAGCCACTCAGGGACCACAAACAACTGCTCCTGGAAGCCTTATCACACTAGCAATTCTCCATCCTCTTCTAATGCCTCCACATGGTTCATTATATTGAAATTATTTAGTTTCCGGTTTGATCTTATGCCGAGTGTGTCTGTATTACTAGACTAATCACATTTCCATAAATCATATACATTAAGGTACTGTAATAATTGGAGGCATGCACGTGGTATCTGAGACCCAGCCTGTGACATTCTAGATCACCATGATGGATGGCTTGCTTTCCTATCGCTCTGCGTGTTATTTGAAATGAAGCCTAACACTAGATTCAAGAATTTGGGCTTACCAAATAGTAGAAGACATCATTCTATGAGAGCCTTCTTCTATACCATTTTCTTCGCAAACTGATAATAACGATATTGTAGCTAATCATGGCGGTCGCTGGAACGACATGGTAAAATTCGCAACGTGTCTGAATCATCCGACGAGGTAGGATGAATGTCTTCGTAATCATTCTGTACCTCTTTGATCCAGTTTCACAGGCTCAAAAATATCACAGAATGGACTGTGTATCTTGATTGTTGATAGAATTCAGCCAATAAGACTGAATTAATAGATTATCTAGCTGTCTGATTCGGACATGGAGCTCACGCAGTAGATACGATAAGGCGCAAAACCTCATGCAACTTTCACTTTTCATACAGAGGACAATGCATGTAATGATTAAAAAATATATATTTTCATGGAATCTGAGAAATACATTTGAAAGTCTCCACAGCGTTGCGGCGCGAAGAGTAGCGTGTATAAACCATCATATTTGTAGAGTCGTCAGGTACTTTTTCATTTCATTTGAAGCTTCTGAAATATTTAGCTCATAGTTAAAAACGCTACTTGTATATTCAGTACGTTAATGGATTTCTATTGACTCTTCTTACTTAAAATTAAGAGAAATAAATCCCTTTTTCAGCTTCGATGCTATTGTTATAATTGTATTTTGATTATATTGTATTTTATATGATTATACACTTGGGTGTAATGGTAAAGAATAAAATCAATAAAATAAAAAGCTATTAGTACACAGCTGTTGACTCCTGGAAATGGGCTGGAGCGAAGCATATGGCGATGGCACACCAAATGCCTGTCGCCTCTGGACACCTTTGAGCCGTCGGAAAGTTCGGCGAAAACACATGTACACTTGCCTCAAACGTATAAGTTTTGTTGGCAGCCAAATTTTCAATTTCAACACATCTGTCATACTGAGGCTGAGCCGAACAAGGTACAACATCCACAGAGATCCAAGTTGAACGTCTGTACTGAAAACTGGTGATCCTCCCCTTTGGCGGGCACGGGTCATTCCACAGCAACCTCACCTCACGGGAAGACAAGGCTACCCCCACCAGGTCCTTCACCCGGGGAGGCCCTGGGGAAGATGTCAACGTTTAGTATGACTGAACGTGGAACGTCAATGAAAGTCAATCTATAAGAGTGCAATCATTTTGAACGGAGATACCACAATATTATAATCATAAAATTACTTGACGAGATTATATACCATAGTTTGCAATCTGCTTCTTAATTTAGCCGTTGGAAAGTCTGAGTAAATATAGAGCAAGAATTACGTTATATGCTACCGATCTTTCTGATACACATATGCATTTTCAGCACTTCATTCATCGCCCACTGACCCACACAAAATAGCTCATCACAGTACAGAACCTCAGTCAGGACATTTCAGTTCCTTCCTCGGCCACCTGTGCAACTGGAGGAGCTGCGGACGTCAGTGACAGGAGCCAATGAATGGTGCAAATCCAAATCTCAAGTGTATCTGCCCTGTACCTTTATCTCTTTTTATCCTATTTATTTGTTCATTTATTTATCCATCTGTCGGGATAAATAAATGGGCTAATTATTAATGCCCGAAGTGCTATCTTAACCAAACGACACCAGATAACTTACTGTCCGGGGAAGTCGTGAATGAACTTGTCAATTCTAGGCCTGCACCAACATCATTCTTGACAGCAAAAGTGGCATTGTAGGTCTCCCCCTTTAGCAAGTCATTATTGAAGGAAAAGCTGACGTAATTAGTGGATAAGCTTTGGCTGTATTCCGACTTATAGAGCTTGTTCTCGCATTTCAGGAAAGTCTCGACGATTAATTCGGCGCGTGCGTTGGGTCCGTTGTACTGTTCGCAGTTGCCACTGAGGGAACAGCTGAAAGACCTGCGATATGGATCGTATCGGCATTCACTTCGAAGTTCAGGGGCTGCGGAGACGAAAGGAAAGTCGGGACTGAATGGGGCGGAGGAGTAAAGTAATAACTGAAAGCAATAAGAGCAATCGTATCACCTATCCCTATGATAAGCTTATCACAGGTGCGAGCGCACAACTCAAACACACACACGCGCGCACACACACATACACAAACTCACGCGTACACACACACACACACACACACACACACACACACACACACACACACACACACACACACACACACACACACACACACACACACACACACACACACACACACACACACACACACACACACACACTCACACTCAGACACACAAACACACATACGCATATGTGTGTATTATCAGCATTAATATCATTATTACTATTGTTATTGTCATCGTCATCGCCATCGTCATCACCATAATTATTATTATCTTTTATTATAATTATTATGTCATCATAATCATTATTATTTTTATATTTTTGTTATCACTACTTTCATCATCATAATCATCATTATACTCATTATAATTATCAGTATCAGTATCTACATCATCATTATCACTCTTCTACTCCGTGGCGTTGCTTCCAAACTGCACCCAGCTGCGTCTAATCCCCAAAGCCTTGCATCGTAATGGCATCAACACACCATGAAAAGAAAGTGGACAGCAAACTCTAACAGCATGCTCATTAACTTGAAAATTTAGCTGCTGGCTTGAAAGCTTCACACTCTTGGGATATTCTTTTAAAGAAGACAAATGCAGCAGCTCTACACTGCTGTCCTAATTCAACGGTTGGAATGTCTACGCCTCTGTCTTTGCCATTTCCATTCATCTCTGCGAAGCATCTTATTTTTCAGCCAGTGGAATATTGCGTATAATAGTACACGCTGTGTATTATCTAGACTCTAGAGTACGGTTCAGTCTGCGTATAATAGGATAAAAAGTGAAAATTTACTGTGAACAAACTTATTCAAGTTGATAATCATTGAGATAATTGTGCAACAATGGTCCTGTTTAATACCATTTTTTTTCCTCATTCAAATTACAATGTTAAATTCTATCTTCTAAATTGTTCATGCTTAATAACCTTGCATATATTTTTTAGCGTCGACTGATGATGAAAGTTCACAATATGTGTTTTCATGAAAGTTGCACGTTTTCTCTTCTGGTTTCCATGCCAGTTATGAAAGGAATTTCTCTTTATGCATTTTTTCTTTGTATTTGCTGTGTACTAAGAAAGCGTTAAAAATAAGTTATATAGAATTGCTGTCTCACACACATACACACCGTGAAGAACTGAGCAATGCTCCTTTTTAATGCTGCTTATCCTGTAGGTGGGTTTGCATCCCCTCTGCTCTCTCCACAGGAGTTTTTTGACCTACCCACGTGTTTGCCGTGCGTAGCAACCCTGTGCGCTAAGGAGACAGGAGTCCTATTCCAGCATGACAGGTGGCCTCATCTCGACCCGATCAGGTCAATCGGCTGATCTCCCTAGAGAGGCTAGGGCCAAGCAGTCAATGTGTCTGGCTTCACACAGGTCCCATGAATGATGCCCTAAATATCTTGTGGTTGCGTATACCCTCTCGTCACCCCTGTAGCTGCTAGAGAATTTACTCTACCATACCGCTTCCCTTTGTCGGACTCCATGGTGAGTGGGGTGCGAAAGGCTGAAGGAATTGCTAAACCATATGACGAGCAAAACCCCTCGGACTGACCATAAACCAATGACCAACACTGCAAGGAAAAGGCTATAGCAGTCACCCTGAATATTTACAAGGCCTCTGGTGAAAAAAAAAAAAAAAAAAAGGCACAGGCCTGCTGCTAAAATGGATAAGAAAAACCATCCAAAACAAAGTCTGTCTATGAAGTAGTCCAACTGGACGCGAGGGCTGGCCTACCCAGGGGCCGGATTCACTAAAATACGACTGCAATGCATTTACCAGCGGTCATTTACCGCTGCGTTTACCAGTGATGGCAGCGCGGGATTCACGAAGAAATGGTAACCCGCATCGACTGAGTTACAATCGTAAATTGTTTCATTCTAATGGTAACCACCAAAGGACTCTAGGAAAGCAATGCCACCAATATGCAAGTGCCATACACAATCCTTTGCGTTCCTTCGCCCAATCACGTAGCGTGTAAATAGAATTAGACCCTGCGAGATTTTTTAAATCATTGTCACAGCTAAAACTGCATTTTAATATATATTGAAAAAAAAAAATTATTCAATCTCATCCATCACGTGGGATGTTCATAGACTTCTCTGGCTATATATCATATAAATAGGAACCAATACAAACACTGTTATATTAATATATCGTTCTTTACCGGAAACCAGAGACAGTCCAAACAGTTTTTATCTTTTATTTATTTCATCATTGTTGAGCATAGAACCGGGCCAAACATTATCCATCGCCATCTATCGTCAAATAAAGGAAATATTTCAAGCTCATTCTTGCCCATGTGATTTGGAGGTTGTTGTCCTTTGCCTAAATGCCGACAGACACAGTTGCTAGGCTTCTTTAGCATTGGCACTGTCAGTTTACTTATTGGCAAGGAAGGTTTTCCATAGAATTTACTCTGATTATATCAAAGAAGAATCCTTTAAGAGTTCACATATCTATCCATTCCATGCACTCGACAGTCTGTGTCTACCTATGAATTGACGAGAATTTGTGTGGGTTTTATTCTTGCTAGTTTCATGAGAAATTTGCATTTTTTCCATAATGTGATATTTGCTTGCCATCATACTAACTGGATCAGGTATAAAAACAAACCAAAATCTTCACTTAAATATTGATTTCTGGTTGAGATGACACGGGATGACATCGTCTTCCCAGAAGTTGCCAGTGCTCCGACCACTGGTAAAATTTACCATGGTAACTCTTATGGCAAGTTGTTAGTGAATACCACCGCTGTCTGTTTACCATGGCAATTATAGTTACCAGTGATTTTACCATCCTAAGTCCGTTAGTGAATCCGGCCCCTGGCCCGCAGCTCAAATAGAGAGAACTCTGACCTCTCCTTAAACGTCCTCTCAAAGTCAGATGGAGGCACAAGTTGAACTAGCTGAATAAGCTGCTCCCACAACTAAATGCCCCAACCCTAGCCAGTGTTTCTGGCCAATGATTCCTGAAGAAAGAACCAAGATGGAGTTACTTAGCTTCTCACTCTTCTATGATTGTGCCACACCCTCTAGTGCTGGTGATCATGTCACATCCTGAGTTGGTGTAGATTTCTCAGATGTGCAAAAGGAAGGCCCAACCAGGCAAATCCTCGTCACCCTCAAGGAGTCCCAATCACCAACCTTGATCTGTGATACAAAGGCTTCTACAAACTAAGACCCTATGTGCCAGAGCCACTGAGGTGTTTCACATGCGAAAAGTATGGGCACCACCAGACCAATTGTAAGGCCAAGGCCAAATGTGGTGTGTGTAGCAAAGCACACAACACCGAAGTGTGTCTCAAGGCGCACAAAGAAGGTCAGAGGGATACAGTATCTGAATAACCCAACTGTACAAGTTGGCTCTGTCAGGAAACTGACGACAGGAAACATGAAACAGCTAAAAAGTGTGCTGACTTTGTCCTTGCTCCCCCTGGTACCTTTGTCTGAGGACAGAACAAAGGGGAAGGGACTCCCCGACCTCCTAAGAGGAAGGAGACACCTCCCCAGCCCATTATGGATACTTCCAATTCAAAGGTTTCCTACCCATGAAAGGGATAGCATAAAGAACCACAGGAAATGAGGTTCAAAGAACACCAGAAAGGAATAGCAGATGACAACCTTCTCTTTGATGAGAAGGACTCTCCTGTTGAGTGCTGTAGTCACTGCAGTAGCAACAGCCTTGGGGAGGACTAGCAAGGAGGCGTAGAATGCAGTCCAGGTCACCATGGTGGCAATGGCCAATACTGTTGCGGCCCTAAAGGAGGGGAAGTAGAAAGCCGCACAGGCCCTGCCAAACAAGACTGTAACCTAAACTATTTGGCCAAAGTCCTCACTGACTCGAACCTGCCAAAATGGTATATCTAACACAGGTTCTACATCTCCCAGTAGATCCTCACCTAGTCTCCCAAACCAGACTGTAACTGTACAGCAGATGCCATCACTACAGTATACATTAGCCCTAACCTGCCAAAATGGTAGATCTAACACGGCTCTCTATCTCCCAGTAAACCTTCAACTAGACTGCCACATCACTTTACATTCCTCAATGAATGAGGATCCATATATCAGAAGCCTCCAGAACTATGGCAGCTATGACTGGAGACGAATATACCACAGATGAAATTGATGCAAGTTACTCAGAGGAACGTACTACTGTGGAACATATGAAGCTATAACAGAAAAAGCTCCTTTCTCTATTCAATAGTGCAAGCAAAGCACATAAAATCGCCATGCTCCAGGAGACATGAACATTGGGCACTTTTTACTATCAGGCTATCATGTCTTAACCTCGCCAAGCCTGGATAGCACTAGAGACTTGATGATACTGGTCAAAGCAACAACTCCATGCTCCTTAAAACCCGATCCACCGTACTGTGGAGATGGCGTGGAATCTCTTCTTGTTGAGATCTTTGAGATTCACCTGCCTGGGGGCCCCCAAACTGTACAATGTATATAGATCACTGTGTGACAGCTTAGATCTAAACCAGGTCTGCGCTACTGCAACACAAGGCCGAGCGATCATAGGAGGAAACCACATGCACATCTACCTATGCTGGATCCCCGCAGGAGGCCAAATGTGGCAGGCATTCACACAGCTGATGTACTTGACACATCACCTAAGATCGCTCTTCTCAACAACCAAGAACACCCCATAGTTTAGCCTCCTAAGGAAAGCTGTTGGGGATGCCTAGGAAAATGACAACAGAGTAAGGCAGTAAAAATGGCTGGAATGGTACGAGTCCTTTGGCCACCAGACCACCCTCTCACAGTTATGGAAACGGGTCAGGCGAGCTACCAGCTAGGCAGACTTGCTTTTACCAGAACCAAGAACCAGATCTGGATTAGCACTGGACTCTGATGGGATTTCCTGCCCCATGCAGCTCATCAACCAGTCCTGGCAAACTGCCATGCTACTCCGGATCTGGAAAAAAGCTCTAATAGTTAACATCCCAAATCCAAAGGAACTAGGCAGGTATTTTCCCATTTCTCTCCTCAGCTGTATGGGTAAAACGGCCAAGATGGTACTAAATCTGCTATGGTGGAAAATGGGATCCTCTCATGAACACCTGCATGGGTTCACCTGGGGAATGAGTACAGCACACAGCATCGCCACGCTCCTAAGTAGAATATGCCCTACTCCCTTTGTGATTGTATTTTTGAACCTTGAGAAGGCTTTTGAACTTTTGTCATTCAGGAGACCCTAATCCATATGGGAATTAGAGGTAGACTTTTGGCCTAGATGGCTGATTTTCAACACCAGAACAGCAAAAGTTAGCTCAGCACATACCACTAAAAAATGAGCACTACAGGGTGGGGTCCACAGTCCTGCCCTGATGTCCATTATCCTCAACATACACCTGCCTGAGGGATGTAAGATTATCTCTTATGTAGCCCATCTTGCAATTATCTGCTCTGGCAAGCATTGCCTCAGTAGAGTCCAACATTGTCCGGACATCATGTCCGAAGAGTGTTGCTGGATGAGTCAAGTTTTCATCAGCAAAATCAAAAGCAATGGCTCTTAAAACCAGTGTAAAAAAAAATAATAATAATTGTCCATTGCATGGATCTGGAATGGGTTAAGGACTATCAATACCTAAGCCAAACACTCAAAAAGGAGATCCAATACCTGCTTGACCGAACCAAATCATGACTGCCATGAAAGTAATGCCTGGGAGACAAATAGGAGCAGAGCACAGAGTACTATGGGCATTCTATGTACACATTTTCTTCATGAAAGCTAAGCTGCCATCCCTGGACACCTAGATCGATCGAACTGTAGCGCAGTCTCTTTCTAAGGTCACCCTGGAATGCACATGCATAAGAAAAAAAATATTCTGATGCCTACAGCAAGACTACCAACTGTATGCAGACAAATCCTGGCTCACACACTCAGCCAGAGTATAGATACACTTTCAGCTCAAACAACAACTGCTTGCCAGGGGAATGGACTCTCTTAACCCTTGACTATAGAGAACCCCCATCATGGGCAAACACCTTAATGAAGTTTTTAGTCATGAGCTTCTGTATGCCTAACCTAAAGGGATAAGTACAAAACATCATTTCACATATAACTCCTCCGGGTAGTAGAACCTACTTCATGGACGTGTCCATAGACCCCATAAACTACACTGCAGGCGCAGGCTTCGTCACAACAGCCACCAATCACTGACAACGCCTCCTTGCTCCCAGCAGAAACATTTGCGATCATGGGAGCCCTAGCCCACGCTTTCTTAAGGGAAGGACACATGATCATACATATAGACTCTAGATTAACCGCTGCCTGTATATAGCACAGTATGCCAATATCTATAACCTGACCGTTGTCCTCACCATAGCACAGAGGATCCTTGATCAGGATAGAATAATAATCATAAACTGGGTCTTAAGCCATCCAAGGAAATGAGCTTGCTGACAGACTAACCAAAATGGGCAGGGGCATGGCCCTAACTCCCGTGATCGTCAACCCAAGCCAAAGAATATTGAGCCACAGGTCCAACGCTGCGGCGTTTGCCATTCTCCGGCAGACCAATTGCATAATAAACTTCTTCCAAACTAAAGGTAGAGGCCTCATCCTACACAGATTTGCTTGGCAAATTATTGATGCCATTGACGTGGTCGATAGGGAATGTAAGCACTGCGGTGACCCAAACGCCACCCTGTTCCATTATTTGCAGAATTGTGAGCACACAATTTCTCAAACAGAGACCCCCACAACAGCCGCTGGGTTATGAAAAAGATACCACATGCTTTCGATGTGGAAACTGGAGCGCTTGCTGGCAATCCAGCCTCCATGCTAAGCATTCAGTTCATGCAAAACACGTCAACTAAAAATAGCTGACACAGGCTAAGCTAGACTGACAACTAAAAACTGACCTGAACACCATTCTAGTATTCCATTGCTACAGTGACTCCATCCGGGAAAAGGACAGGTAAATTCGAGGTGTGGTATCTACAAAATATTTTGAAATATGTTATTATTTGGCTATTAAGGATTTTTAATCCCTGTTAAAGAGCAGACAGTTCTTAGCATAAAAAAAATTCCTGTGATATTTGTTTGTATAGTCTAGACTGGATGATTTTAGATCAATATTTCTGAATAAGACTAAGAGGAAATATCTATTCCGTTGAAAATATTTCAAACTATTTGTATTCGCTGCCCCTCCCTATTAGGACAAACTATCCTTCTTGCTAGAAATCTAGAAATGAGTTTTCCAATCAATTGACCATATGTACAGTACTGCTAAATATCATTAATGTCAAAATTAAGAAATATTAGCAGTAAGAATAATAATAGTAAAAATTCCGATAATGTATATATGTCAGTAGTTTGCGAACATAAAATTCAGCAGACTACAACTCAAAAGGAAATACTACACTGCTATCAAAGTTTACCTGTTGGCAGTGTGGTTTCGAAAGAACAAGCTGCAGGGATACACCACGTTTCTTTCGTAGGGAGGTAGGTCATCAGGTTGAGATAGATCTCGGTAGCCGTATGGTGTTCATGAGATGCAGCTTGGCGGACACGGCCCTTGCAGGCTTCATACTTGAGAAGCTGAAATGTAACGGTTCATCACTAAGAGCAGAGGAAAAAAGGAACAGAATCTACCCTCACCGTTCCTTAACCGGTTTTCCATACTTACAAGCCTCCTGAGGATGCAAAAAGTGTAAGAAAACATACCTTGTCTCACATCGTAAATGTCAACACGACTCGACTGTCGGGGAAGATCCAACTTGACTTTTATTACTTGGATGGCTGTCACCTCCAGCTTCAGGATAGGCGCTAGTGGAGCTGAAAGTGGTTTTTTATTGTATTCATTTTCCGGCCTTTTATGGATCAAAAACATCATTTCCTCGTTATAGTTTCATATATATTTATATATTCATATATATTATATATATATATATAATATATATATATATTAATATATATATATATTATTTATTTATTTATTATTTATATATTTATATATATATATATATATATATATATATATATATATATATATTGTATGCATATATATATATATATATATATTTAGTAAAAATACACACATTAAGGCATGTTTCACCATGACAAGTGTCTTAAAATCGATCAATAAAATGGAATTAGCAGTGTGAAATATACAATTGTTGATCAAAACAAAATAAACAAATAAATGACTATGTATATTTATGAACATCTGGACAGTATGATTCCCACTGCGAAGCACAAAAAGGTTGTTGTCATCGCATCACAGTCTAGCTCATTGCTTTTGCTTTTTCGTCCACAGGCAGTTATTTAAATGCTTCTGGGTCGCAAACAGTGTCTAAAGGGATGGTTCACAATTTTCAACATTTTCACACGCGTACAAATTGTATGCTGGGAGGGGGAGGGGGAGCGGTTCTGGGGTCGATTGTTTTTACTTCTACTGGGAAAATAAACTGGTATATATATATATATATATATATATATATATATATATATATATATATATATATATATATAATATATATATATATATATTTTTTTTTTTTTATTCGCCATTTTGGGATGCTTTATACAAGGATGGCAAGAATAAAGTAACGTGGACATTTACATTTTCTTGTACACTTTTTAAGTGGGGAGGTATTCTAAAAGTGCATGTTTTATACACGTGAAACTGTGAACCACCCATAAGCTATACTTTTGTTAAAGATTTTTATAGATAATTTTTTATACGCAGTTGTTGGAGCTTCATTTGATGATAATTTGTTTTGTTTACATTTACCTATATTTTTGGCTCAGCGTAAAGAGTTCTAAAATGCTAAAATGAAGTGGAATACCAATGGTATGTTTAACAATTCATGTTTCACACAATTCTTGGTTATCAGGTCTCCCATATGCCCTATGATTTATCCTTTGATCATCCAATATAACTAACCCTACATCCTACAAGATTAATGCGTTTATATTCATTCTGATTTTTTTTTTTCTTTTAAGTTGTATGTTCAGCAGCCGCAATAAATTCAAATATAAGAGAGGTCCAACACTCACGGCTCATTAGGGTCCTGAAAGACCATCGCTCCAAAAACTTTGGTTCTCTCGCGATGCCACTGTAGAGTCCGATCGTGAGCTCGTATTCAGTGTCTGGATCCAAACCATCGACAGTGAAGGAAGTCGCGTTCGTTTCTCTTCGTATTTGGGTTCCTCCTGACTTCTTACTGAACTCGAGAACATACGTCACTTCGCAGCGAGGATGAACGTGGACGTGCAGTGACTTCTCGGGGGGAAGAGCAAAGAAAACGGAGAGCGATCAGTACTGAAGTAAATATGCGCTTGTGGATGGGATTTGGGAAGCAAAGAGAACGCAGAGCGGTTAGTAACTGACATCGTTACGTCCTTGTGGATGGGAGATAATAGCAAAGCAAATGGAGAGTGGTCAGTAACTGAAGTAGGTATGTGCTTGTGGATGGGAGATGGGAAGCAAAGAAAGTGGACATGCGAGTCATTGAAGTAATTGCAAACATGTGACAGTATACGTTGCAAAGGTAAGATTTTGTACATTATTGTTGATGTATTCTTACTCTAAGAGGTAATACACTACTGTATGCTATTAGTTACACCAAAATTAATGCTTAGCCATTCTTAAATAACCATATATAAAATATCCCAGTTCAGTGATTCTTACCCAACTTAGGGAGGCAGAGGAATTGGTAACCTTCGTTGTCTCAACCTCTGCGATGCTGGGATCTTAAAGACAAATTGTAGTAGTAAGATATAATAAGCAGCAACATGAATTATATTAAATAAATCAACTTGGGTATATAATACTTTGTGGATAGGTTAGGAGGCTACTGCAAATTCGAAAAGTGAGATGAATTTTTCACATATATACCTGAGCAATTTGTGATGAAGTCGGCACCCTGGACACGCTGGTTCGTGGAACCATCAACCAAGCCGCTGTCGG